GCCACCATGTGGTTGCTGGGAATTGAACTCAGGACCTCTGGAAGAGCAGTCAGTGCTCTTAACCTCTGAGCCATCTCTCCAGCCCAAGTTAAAGAAACTTTTTAAGAAAAAGAAAAAAATTAACTAGCTCAAGGTCCCACAGTAATCTCAAAGATGGCTTCACTTAAAGGGCAATGCTGTTCTACCAGCTCTCTGTTGAACCCCTGCCCGTCCTCTGCCCACCACACTGCCCTCCATGCCTGTGAGGCCCGTGAAAACCTGCATCTTACCTTTTCCAGTCACGTAATAGGCCCCCAGCTTATAGCAGCTGTCACTGTGCCCATTGTCCTCACAGTTGAACTTCAGCACCTTGGCGGCTTCATCAAAATTCTTCTGAATTCCCTCCAGATAGTCCACCAGCCGATAGCAACCTAGAGGAGAGAGGAGTTGCCCATGCCAGCAGCTGCTGGTCAGCTGTTCAAGGGGTCCAGGGGGTCAGATGGAGTCTAGCTCTTACTCCTCAAGTATGGCAAGCAGGCTGAGCACAGAAATGCACAGTGTCCGTGCATGTCTCCCCGTGGCCAGCGCTGGATGGATCAGGAAACTGAGCCCAGCAACGGTTCTACCACTGCCAATCCTAATCCCTGTCAGCCCAGCCCAAACACTAAGCTGACCTCCATGGCTGACACTCTGCTAGCTTTGGAACCACTCTGCAAGTTCTATAATGAAAACACTAAAACCTAAAAGGCTTTGTGGGCTCCTCCTGCAGCAGCAAACCAGAAATGAGGTGGCCCTTACTCCCTGAAGCCCAGAAAACGGAGATGGAGGCTACCACAGTGGTGGGGAATAGGTCTCCCTCCTGGGTATCCCAGTCCTAGCCAGTCCCTTAGCATTCTCAGCAACATCAAAGATGGTTTCTCATTCACTCCCAGTCAACAAATATTTAACATATACATACTATCATATGTGTGAAAGTATATACCAGAGACACAGCTGCTGGGAATATTGTCATTTGCCCTCCTAAAATTTATACTCTAAGCCAGGCATGCAAATTCATGCCTATAATCCCATCACTCACAAGGTGGAGCCAAGATAAGGAGTTCAAGGTCCTCCACAACCTAGTCAAAGAGTACAGCTCAGGCTATGTAAGAAGGAAATACAATAAGGAAATCCAATGTTTTCAAACAGCAAGTGTTATAACTGAAATAAGTCAGGATGATGAGAAAGTTCGTTGTGCATCTTAGGAGAATAGTGAACATAGTTTGGGCCACCAAGGACTATGATAGCTGAGCTGGGACCTGACTAAGAAGAAAGCACAAGCTACTTAAAGACAATGGGGGGGGGGGTGTCGTGTCTGGAGGTGTTGTTCCATGGCAAGGCAGAGTACAAGGCCCTGGGTGGTTCCAGCCCTAGCATGTCAAGAACAAAATGGAAAGGGGCCGAGAGTCCTGGAGAAAGAGCCTGTAAATACAAACAGGTGGGTGAAGAAAGGAACCTCTCACAGATATGGTAGGATGTGGCTGAATTAAAGAGGTGTGGGGTAGGAAGGAAGACCCTATAAAACATCAGTGCTGAGGACTGAACCCCAGCCTCTCCGCACACTGGGCACACTACAAACTACAAACCACAGAAGAGTTCTTAAGAAGGAAAGTGGGGCTGGAGCTGTGTGGAGCTCTGTGGTACAGTACTTGTCTAGAGTGTGAGAAGTCCTCTGTTCAACCGCTATCCCCAGAATAAAAACAATACAATTAAGCTACCGACTGAGAAATCTCTTAAAAGAAGGGAAGTAATAAGATTCACTCTGCCTTTGTAAAACATTACACAGGTACGCATGTCTGCACCTGCCGGGATGACTGCCGAGGAAGCTAACTGGTGAGAGGGCATTCTGACATTGAGAATAATAATAATACATATTCTTTTCTTTTCTTTTTTTTTTTTTTTTTTTTTTTTTTTTTTTTTTTTTTTTTTTTTTTGGTTTTTCAAGACAGGGTTTCTCTGTGTAGCTTTGTGCCTTTCCTGGAACTCACTTGGTAGCCCAGGCTGGCCTTGAACTCACAGAGATCCGCCTGGCTCTGCCTCCCGAGTGCTGAGATTAAAGGCGTGCGCCACCACCGCCCGGCCTACATATTATTTTCATTTGTTTAGTTCTATCTTTCTTTGAGACAGGGTCTTATATAACCTAGGCTGGACCAGAACTCATTATGTAGCTGAGGCTGTCTCCTGACCCTCTTACCTCCACCTCCTAGAGTGCTAGGATTACAGGCCAGGCATGTGCTGCCATATCCAGTTTAAGACAGGAACTGAACTCAGGGCCTCATGTACAATAGGTGAACACTACCAACTGACCTATAGCCCCAGCCCTCAGCCAGTTCTCACATGGCTGTCCTCCACTCAGTGCTCTATATTCTCCACCTAACACACACACCAACTACCATGAACTCCTCAAACATGTCTACAGAATCAGCTCTAAATCCCTTCTGTAAAAGGCCGGACACACTGCAGTCCAGGCTCCCTGTTCCAAATTCCGGAACTAGAGGCAGCGTGCAATGGTGGTAAACTTGCCTAGTACACTCAGAAGCCCTGGGTTTGAGCCTCTAGATTGCAAAACAAAAATTAATTTGACTTAATTCTCGCAGAGCCTGACTTCAACCTTCCAAAAGAGAACTTGGTTTTCCCACCTCTCCTCCACTGACTATAAACTCACCCCTGTAGACCACGCCTAGCCACTCTGCTCCTCAGGGACCCCAAAGGGTCAAGTCCTCTGAAATTTCTCTTCAGCTGGGACATAGACTATCTCCCAAAGAATAATCCAGGCTTCCTTGTCCACACAGTCACTCTGTAGTAGACTAGTTTCAAGAAATAGCAAGTCATTTCCTGGAAACCAGACTGCAAGCTACTGGAAGAGATGGCCAGAGCCATTTTCTTTCTTTTCCCTTAAATAAATCTCTAGGAAAAGAACTCAAAGACACTGGCTGCTTCTCTGAGCATCAATCACCCATACACTTAACCACCTCACTGAATACAAGAGGCCATTTCTGCCTCAGACCTTTTCATTAGCTGTTACCTCTGCCTGGCAAAGACCTACAAATGGTGTTTCCTCCTTTAAAGCTTTATCCCAAAGCCATTCCACTGTGCTGTTCTCTTCACTCAGTTCTTTTATCCTATTTCACTTAAAAAAAAAAAAAAAAAAAAGATTTAATTTTGTGCCAGGCAGTGGTGGCCCAGCAGTTGGTGGGCGGAGGAAGGTGGATCTCTGAGTTTGAGGACAGCCTGGTCTACAGAGGGAGTTCCAGGATAGCCAGGGCTACACAGAGAAACCCTGACTGGGGGTGGAGGGAGGCTTAATTATGTGAACAGGGCAGGTGGCTCACGCTGGAAACCCAGGAGGCAGAGGAAGGGGGTTCTCTAAGTCCGCGGCCAGCGTGGACTGCACTGCTGTCAAGGCTACATGAGACTTGGTCTCAAAATTATTTTAAATTATGTATACATGTGTATATGTGCAAGTGGTGTGGAGCCAGAGGTATCGATCGCCTGGAACTGTAGTTACAGACGCTTGGAAACGGCCCCACGAGGGCAAAAGCAGTATGTGCTTTTTTTTCCTTTTGATTTTCCGAGACAAGGCTTCTCTATATAACAGTCCTGGCTGTCCTGGAACTCTCTCTGTAAACCAGGCTGGCCTCGAACTCAGAGATCCGCCTGCCTCTTACTCCCGAGTGCTGGGATTAAAGGTGAACACCACCACCGCCTGGCGCAGTAAGTGCTCTTAACCGCTGAACCCATCCATTATCAGTAGTCTCCTTATCCACTCCTCTCTTGGACCGTGTTTCGCTATGTACCCAGGCTGGTCTGTAACTCCTGAGCTCTAAGTAATCCTCCTGCCTCAGCCTCCCGAGTGCTAGAATTACAGCTGACACCAAACCTGACTCGCATTTACTACCATCGCATATTTCCTTTGTTTCCTATGCGTGTTAACCGATTCCTTCAAAGACATGTAAGCGGAGGGTCCATTTCACCATCGCACCCCCAGTTCTTACATCCTACACCGCACCTCTCCGTTCTAGCCTGAGGGCTCCGCCCCTCCACAGAAGCCCCGCCCCCGCTGCGCTCCAAGTCCCCGCCCACAGCCCGCTAGAGTCCCTGACCACGTCCTCAGGCGTCCTGGGCCCGCCACGTGACCGCGTCCCGGTCAAACGCTCGCGCCCCTCCTCTGCGTGCCCGGCTGCGCGGGCGGCACTCACCGTCCGGGTCCTTCTCGCGGTAGCACTGGTAGTGGCACTCCACTTTCATGTTCTCCAGGAAAGACTTCACCTGCTCCTCGTCCTGGAAGTCAACCAAGCCCGCCATGGCTCTGACTCCCACAAACCGAGCGGCGGCCCCGCCCCTAGACCACGTGAGCCGCCCAGGGGGCGGGGCTGGCGGCGGCATGCGTGGTGTCGGTGCTCCGCGGTCGTCGGGAGGACCGCCGCTTCCCAGCAGCCTTTGCGGTGGTGGTGGCGGCGGTCTCCGCCCGCTCCTCCTCGTCTTTGTGGAGGGCTCCCTCCCGGGCTTCTACCTCAGCTTATCTGATAAAATTCTGCCCCTTAATAGTTTGCTCCCTGCAGTCGGGATCAGACAACTAGCCGGGAGCTCCGGGTCGCTTCCTGCCTTTCCAGAGCTTGCCGCGTTGGGCTGGAGCTCACCGCTCGATGCTCCCAGCACTGCCAAATAAAGAACTTGAAATTCATCGGGAAATCATTTGCTTATTCGGGCAGCAGGCATTTTGAGTAACTTGTGTGTCCTACATATGACTGGAACAACTGACAAAAAAATAAATCTCTGCTAGTGCCACGGGATGCGTTTATCTCTGTATTCTTTCTAGACCCATCAAGATCACCAACATTAATGACCTGGGATATGAATGTGGCCACGAGTGATGATAGTGACAACATGATGGTGATAGCTAGTGCCGACTGCTGAATATTGAATCCGGGTCTAAGAGCGTTACACTAGTTAAATCATTTACAGTGGTGACAATATACGTATGACTCTTCCCTATCTGCAGACCGGGAAACGGGTTCAGAGAGGTTAAGTAACTTGTCCAAAGCTATACAACGAAAGAATTGGTGCACAACGCTTGTTAAGAGAAAGAATGAAGATTAGCTCGGTGATAGAGGGCTTGCGGAGCATGTGCAGGAGTCCTGGGGTCAATCCCCAGTACCATGCAAAAAGAGAAGCATGTCAAGATGTGGGGGAAGAAAGCGTCACCTGTTTTTTGTTTGGTTTGGTTTTTTAAGTTTTACTTAGAATCATTACTTTCACAAACCTGAAACAAGCACCTCCAGCATGCACCACTGCCTCCTGGCTAATAGCCCAGCACCTCAAGCATGCTAGGTAGGTGCACTATGGCTAAACCATACACCCCAGAGTGCCAGTTCATGAATGCCAACCAGCCCTAGTCTAGAGCCTTCGTGGAGCACAATCCATGTTTCCCACTATCTAATATAGCACGGCTTCACCACTAACTTATTTATGGTGGATGGGAAGCAACTTACTTCAGCTAGTACATGTCTTTGGAAATCCCTGATTTATTTATTATTTATTTTTGGTTTTTCAAGACAGAGTTTCTCTGTGTAGCAGCTCTGGCTGTCCTGGAACTTGCTTTGTAAACCAGGCTGGCCTCAAACTCACAGAGATCTGCATGCCTCTGCCTCTCTGAGTGCTGGGATTAAAGGCGTGCGCCACCATTGCCTGGCTCTGATATGCCATCTTTACATATGGCTTCTTTTGTTGATTTTCCTTGGCATAGAATCTCACTGTGTAGCTTAGAACTACCTTTAACTTGAGACGATCAACCTGCCTCAGCCTACTGAGTACTATTACAGATATAAGCTACCACATCCAGCTACTCATTCTTTTTCTTTTATTTATTTATTTTTTTTATATCCTTGGTCACTAGAGAAAACCCTCAGAAAACATGCCCAAGGATGGGATGGCCTGACCTTTGGTTTTGAGATTCCCTACTTAGCCTGACCTTCAAGGCCCTGTGAAATTTCATTCTACCCTCTCAATAAAGTTTGCCAGATACAACTGCCATGCCAACCCAAAATAGATTAGAAGCTTCTTCCTCGGTGTTTCATATTACTTGATATATTCTGTATAATATGTTAGGAAAGGACTAGCTTTGGAGGACAGACAGATCTTAGTTGAGAATCACTATCCCACTCTGAGGATGGAGCTCAGTGGTATAGCTCTGGCTTATCATGCTCGAGGTCCTAGGTTTCAATCCTCAGTGCAAGGGAGAAAAGGAAAGGAAGAGAAAGAGAGCCAGTGAGATGGTGTGGCACAAACTCCTCTCCTCTCACAAATAAATAAATGTAAACCATTTTTTAAAAGTCCCTATCCTGGGGCTGGAGAGATGGCTCAGAGGTTAAGAGCACTGACTGTTCTTCCAGAGGTCCTGACTTCAATTCCCTGCAACCACATGGTGGCTCACAACCATCTGTAATGAGATCTGGCGCCCTCTTCTGGCCTGTAATCATACATGCTGTATACAAAATAAAAATAAATAAATAAATAAGTAAAAAAAAGTCCCTATCCTTGTCCAAAAGCTAGGTGGATGAGCTAGGCTGGAAGATCAGGACTTCAAAGTCATCTTGCTTTTCTTTTTCTCCAGGGTCATCCTTGACTATATACTAAATTGAGGCCAATCTGAGCTACATAGTGAGACCCTGTCTCAAAAAAAACAGGAGCAACAACAAACAAATTCAGGGGAAAAAGTAAGAATTCCAATGCCATATTTATTAAGTTATGAGCTTAGACCTCATTCCTATTCTGTACATACAAATCTATTTCCACCTGTCAATGTAACTAAAAGATCTGTGCATGCCATGTGATTTGCATGCTGCCTGGTTCAGAGTAATTATTGTTGCAGAAATGTTTCTTGCCATGCCCAGAATGACATAAAAGCTGGTGTCTCCCACCAGTTTGATTTCTATGTCTCCTCTGCTGGTGAGAGGGTCAAGGACAGAGGAACGGGTGTGGTATAGCTTAGTGGTAGGGCATTTGCCTGGCATGTTCAAGCCTGGATCACCAACACTATGAGAAAATAAAATAAGAATAGAGCAGGCCTCAGTGAGGATGCTACAGACAATTGAAGTCAAGGACTGGCCACAAGTACAGCTTTCCACTTAGTCTTTTTCACGTGTTAAACTGCATGGCATGCAGCCAGCTGAGCGGTAGAGGGCAGTAGAGGGCTGGTGAAAAGAGAGGCGCCACCAGGACACGTACAAAGTCACACAATCATACTTCTTGTTTGTTTTTTTGTTTTTGTTTTTGAGACAGGGTTTCACTGTGTACTAGTTCTAGGCTGTCCTAGAACTCACTCTATAGACCAAGATGGCCTGGAATGAACAGAGATCCACCTGCCTCTGCCTCCCGAGAGCTGTGGTCAAAAGCGTGCTACAAATTTTATAAAGAGATGTAAGATCTTTAAAAGAACAGCAAGCTGCTGCTGCTTCATTTTTGAAAAGCCCTTTCATGATCTCTGTGGGATTATTTCCCTCAGTTCTCTAGTGCTGAGATCAAACCCAGAGTCTCACGTGCTAGGCATGTGCTCTCCCACCGAGATAGACTAGCTCTCATGTAGTCTTACAAATGTTCATGCTTATTTTGTAAATGTCTCAGCTGCACGACGAATGCATTGATCAGTTTATCACAAATTAACCTCCTGTTTTTCACCTAATAACCCTTTTCTGTAAGTGTGATATACAGCTAGCAGGCATGCTTCCGTGTTGCAGATAAGCACGCTTGTAGAAGTGATTTTCCATAAAAACACTGTGAAGGAGCTTTTCTGATCCTGCAGTTCACAGCTGACATCCCGGATGCTGGCGGGAAGAACTCAAGCATTGCAAAGCTCACTTTCTAACTCCGGACTTAGAGTCAACTGAGACCGATGGGTCATTAACCCCTGGTTGAGTGCTTACTCGATTCCATTTAGTCTTCACCGAATTCTCCTCACTCGTGCAATAACATTCCTGGTGCTTTAATAGTGGCTAGGATTTCAAGGATGCAATACTAAGATCTAGAAGGTTTCGATCAAAAGCATACAGCTCTCAGAACAGGAAAAGCATCAGCTAATACATATGATAAGCTCTTATTCTTAATGATGAAAGCCAATTAAAAACAGTGCGGGCCAGCAAGATGGCTCAGTGGGTAGTGGTACTTGCTACACAGGCCTAGTGGTCTGAGTTTGATCCTCAGATCCCATATCAAAGTGAAAGGAAAGAATCAACTCCACACTGGGCGGTGGTGGTGCATGCCTTTAATCCCAGCACTCGGGAGGCAGAGGCAGGTGGATCTCTGTGAGTTCCAGGACAGCCTGGTCTAGAGATTGAGTTCTAGGATAGCCAGGGCCACACAAAGAAACCCTGTCTCAAAAAGAAAGAAAGAAAGGAAGGAGGAAAGAAAGAAAGAAAGAAAGAAAGAAAGAAAGAAAGAAAGAAAGAAAGAGAGAAAGAAAGAGAGAAAGAAAGAGAGAGAGAAAAAGAGAGAGAAAGAGAGAGAGAAAGAGAGAAAGAAAGAAAAGAATCAACTCCACAGAATTGTCCTCTGGCTTCCATATGTTCACTATGAGATACACATACCCATATACATTTATACATACACACACACACACACACACACACACACACATTAATAACAGTGTTTTGACTGGGCAGTGATCTGATGGTGCACGCCTTTAATCTCAGCACTCGGGAGGCAGAGCCAGGCAGATCTCTGAGTTTGAAGCCAGCCTGGTCTACAGCATGAGATCCAGGACAGGCACCAAAACTACACAGAGAAACCATGTCTCAACAAAACAAAATAATAATAATAATGATAATTCTAAAAATAAGACCCAGTGTGATAATTTCATCTATTAGGTTAATAAAGATTGGCTGAACTGAGCAGTGGTGGCACATGCCTTTGCCTTTAATCCCAGCACTTAGGAAGCAGAAGCAGGGGGATCTCTGTGAGTTCAAGGCCAGTGAGTTCCAGGACAGGCTCCAAAGCTACACAGAGAAACCCTGTCTTGAAAAACCAAAACAAAACAAAACAAAAACAAACAAACAAAAAAAGATTGTCTGGGCAGTGATGGCACATGTCTTTAATCCCAGCACTCAGAAGGCAGGCGATCTCTGAGAGTTCTAGGCCAGCCTGGTCTAGAGATCGAGTTCCAGGACAGCCGGCATCCTAGAGGCTCAAGAAATGGATCCATAGTCAAGAGCACTTGATGTTCTTGCAGATGGGAGTTCAGTGCCTAGCCTGTATCTGGAGGGTCACAACCACCTGTAACTCCAGCTCTGGGAGATCAGATGCTCTCTTCTGGCTTTCTGGGGCACTACACACATG